GGGGGAAGGATTGCATGGAGGGGATTGTAACCATGGCAATGAGATGATATACGATAGAATGAATGTAAAACTAATGTTCTCCCATGTATACTATCACATAATTCACAATAAATCATTTAAGAAAAACAAACAAACAAACAAACATGTAGGCAAACTCTGCATCAGTGTAGGTCAGCTCTCAATTCATCTTGGCTGTGTAGGCCTACCTTTTCAGTCCCAAAGACAGGTTTCTCTAACACTCCTGAGGACAGACTCCTCATGGCCCTGTCATCTGTCACCACTGGAATCTTTATGGGCCTCTGACTTCAGTGCTACAGCCCTTGACCCTGTAACAGTTCTTTTAGGAGTTTCTTTGTCTCCTTATCTTTCTGTTTCTTTCTTCCTGTTTCTTTCTTTTTCAAAAACCCCTATAGCTCAGGAGTTTAACCTCCTGCTTAAACATGCAAACTCCTGGCTCAATCTCATGGCATGGCATTCCCACCAGGGCCACAAATTGACCAATATCCACTTGGTAGGCTACAGATACTTCATTTGCATATTAGGCTACTACTCACCTCATTTGCATAGTCTATTGACCAATCCCTGCAGGTTGTAGTCCAGGACCAGACAAAATATAGCAAACCATATTGTTTACAATTTGTACCGGAAATGTCAATCAATCTAGACAAAAGTAACAATCCCTCTAGGATAGGGACCAGGACAGAATTCCTTAGAGCTTAAGGGAGAAAATCACTCAAGCTATTTTTCCAAAGAACCAAGGCAAAGACCACATAAATGGACTCATTTTGTCACCCTGAAGCAAAAATAAAATCCAGGGGAATTCACTATCCCATTTTTCCTCAGGTTCCAAAGTCCCTAACCAATATGTTTTCATCTTTCTACCTTTCAGAGTTTTCTTTTGTCTTTTATGTGTAATGTCTAGGACTTTCAGTTATATTTAATATAAGGAAAGAGGAAAAAGTATATTTACTCCAGTATTCCAGAAGTAGAAGCTCTCCAATTGTTTTTCAAAATAACCTAATTTTTCCACTAATTATATACCAGTAGAAAAATTAGGTTTATAAGTGTATATTTACATAAGTGATATCTTTACATGTATGTATATATAATTTGTTCCTTTGCATCTGAGTTCTAATCTATCATTCCATTGAAAGATAACTATTTGATTATTAAATTACATTTTGTTGGCAGTCACCTTGCATGATAGTAGCATTTGTATTTTCAGAAAATTATTTCCCTTTCTCTTGAATAGATCAAAATTAAAAATTTAATGAAAATGTTAAGAAAATATGTCAATTATTACACATTTATAAAAAGCAGAATAATGCTTTAAAGTACATTTTCAAAGAGTGTCTTCAGATTAGTAATAGAAAAGAATGCCTTAGTAGTATTTAAGACATTTTTACTCAACTGAGCCGAATACTAGATTTTTAGCTACTTTTTCCCTTGTTCAATTTCTAAACCTCTTCATAATTCAGGGTTTAATATTAACTACATATAAGCTACATCTGGAGTCCTGGTGTGGCCCTGTGGGTTAATGCGCCAGACTGCAAAGTCGTTTGAACTGCAAGGGTGGCGGTTCAAGCTCACCAGCTGCTCCTCGGAAACCCTATACAGGGTCGCTATGGGTCGGGATCAACTTGACGGCACTTAAAAACAACAACATAAGCTATATCTACAAGTCTCTATAGGGCTCTGGCAGAAACAAAGATATTTTGAGTAAATGTTAGTATTACTAGGTGCCATCAAGCCCGTTCTGATTCATAGCGAACTAATGTACAACAGAAGGAAACACTGCCCGGTACTGAGCCATTCTCACAATTGCTATGTTTGAGCCCACTGCTGCTGCCACGTGTTGGTCTATCTCATTGGAGGGTCTTCCTCTTCTTTCAAGATGACTCTCCACTTTATCAAGCATGATGTCCTTCTCCAGGTAAGATGAAGACTTGTCATCCTGACTTCTAAGGAGCATTCTAGTTGTACTTGTTTCTTGACAGATGTGTTCATTATTCTGGCAGTTCATGGTTTACTGAGTAATTGTTGATATTAAGTGTCCTCAAGTCTGTTCAGACTCACAGACTGTATAGTGTTGCCGAGGAGCAACTGATTGGTTTAAACTGCTGACTTTGTGGCCCACAGTCCAATGCTAATCCTACAGCACCATACCAGAAGTCCACACCAAATAATTACCTATATCTAAATGGACACATTCTTGTGTTCATTCACCTACTCCCATTTTCCCATCACATTCAGTTACTCAAACAAAATATACTGATCACTACCCCCACTATGATCAGTATGTTTTGTTTGAATAACAATAATCTGTTGAACCACAGTGTCAGCGGTTCAAGCTCACCAGCCATTCCTCGGAAACCTCCATTATAAAGAGCCCTGCAGTGTAGTGGATGGTGAGCCTGGCTGCTAACCGCAGTCCTGGTGTGGCACTATGGGTTAATGCAATGGACTGCAAAGTCTGTCTGAGCCACAAGGACATCAGTTCAAACTCACCAGCTGCTACTTGGAAACCCTATACAGGGACACTATGGGTTGGAACTTAACACCAACAACAACAGGCTTTTTAAAAAACATAAATGCTTCAAGAAGATATGCAATATCATACCTTGATTTATGTACCTCGGATGCATCCACACCCCAAACACTACTAAGAGAACAATTCTCTAAACCCCTACATAAAACAGTTAATAGTATGGTTACCTTTCTACTCCTCGTGGCATCCCTGTAGCATTCAAAATAAAGTGACATGTTACTTTGACTATTTTGACTCTCTCCCATAGATCAGCAAGAACGCTGTTTGGTTCACTACTGTGTTCCCAGTGTCTAGAACAGTGTCTGATATTTGTTGTTGTTGTTAAGTACCTTCAAATTAGTTGTGACCCATAGCGACTCTGTACAGGGTTTCTAAGGAGCGGCTGTTAAGCTTGAACCACTAACCTTGCAGTTCAAATTGACTTTGCAGTCCAGTGCATTAACCCACAGTGTCACACCAGGGCTCCAGTGTCTGACATAGTATTCACTAAATACATGTTGAATAGTTACTGTATTGAGTTAACAAGAACTTCAGGAATACTCGTTTATATTTCTTATGTAAATTATCATAAACTCTCATGTTTATTTTATCTCTTTAGAGAGTCCTGTATGATTAGAAAATATGAAAGTTTTCAAACGACCAGTTTCAGCTATAACATGTGGGCCTATTCTGGGTCAGTCTGAGTCAAAATCGACTTGACTGCACTTAACAACAACATGTGGCCAATTAAAAGTTCTGCTCTTACCATTGCCATGCTGCAATGAGTTTCGATGACGGGTAAGACTGAGGAATTCACACTGACCACCTAAGGCAGCGTCCCTTAAACAAACAATAAATAAGGGGGAATCTGATGCAGACCGTGCAGACCCAGTCAGGAGGTCAAG